TCCAATCTTTGAGCTGTGTGGACTTCAACTCCCAGAATTCCCCAGCCGGGGTAATCTGGGAGTTGAAGTCCACGCAGCTTAAAGTTGCTGAGAAAGATTGGCCTATCCTTTTGCAAGAAGGCCTGGCTTAGGTCTTCGCGCAGCATCTCTCCCTCGCACCAACCCAGCCCCTTCCACCAACTTCTCTCCACCTCCTTGCAGGTGTCCTGGGTGTAAACATGGAGGAACAGGTGGTCAAGCTTCTTTTCACGGAGAGGCAGTACGACAGGAAGCTGCGCCCGGTGGTATCCAGGAACGACACCGTGAAAATCGAACTGGGTCTGACGCTTTCCAACCTGCTCTCGTTGGTACGATCTTCCTCAGGCCTCTCTTGTCCATTATCAACCAGCGCTGTCCATCAAGAGGGGGCGGGGTCAAATAGATCAAACAGATTCCGAAGTTGGTCAACATCACACATGTCACACATCACACACACACACACACAACGCACCGTCTGCTACATCCATAGGTTGCTTGGAGGTCCTTTTTCATTTCAGGTTTCTTCCAGTCGATTTGAAATGAAGATTTTTCTTCCTGATATCATCGTCCTCTTTTAATGACCCCATAATCCCTTGTGGGGTGGAGTCTGGGAAAGTGAATGGTGCTGAGTGCTTACTGGCTGGATGCCCTTCCTGTTGCCAATGAGGAGTTTTGTTTCAGCATATATATTCACATCCTGCCCAGAGGGGAGAAATATCTGCCTCTAGCTAGCATCGAACTCACCGCCTCCTGATTGTGAGATGAGAGCGCCTCCTCTAGTGCACAGCACCACTAGTTTTCCTTCATGATATGTTTTTACTAATTAATTATCCCTTTCACTAACAGATTAACAGATGAGTTGGAAGAGGCCTTGGAGGTAGGGGTGGCATTCAGCCAGTTTGGACTGGTTTGGGCAGACTGGATGTTAAATTTACATCCGGTTCACTGAACTGGTAGTTGAACCAACCGGCTGGCCTCTCCCCTCTCAGGAGTCTCCAGGAGGCCCGTTTTGGATTCAGGTAAGAGCAGGATCTGCGTGGAAGCTCTGGAAGTACCGGAAGTTTGGAAATGGGCCTGTTTCCGGCTTCTGGAGGGCCTCCAGAGCAGCTAACCGGTTGGTGGGATTATTTAATCCAACCCCTGCTGGTAGGTCATCTAGTTCAACTTCCTATCCAAGCAGGTGTCCCTACATAATTTCTGGGCCTCCTTCCCTCTTATCCAAACTGTGAGATTTGGATAAAAATAAATCAACAGACTATCATAATCCATAGGATGCTTTATTACGTAAAATACTGCATGACCCCTAACCCCCAAACAACTGTTTAGGAGAAAGGAGACGCCCCCTTTTAGTGGATACAGATTTCATATAGGATCTTCAAATTTAACAGATTACATAATACTTCCTGTTTTCCATACCTAGAAGTTATACAATGTTTCTCATAAGAAAGTCCCATCCTTCTAAGGAAAACTTTCTTCACCGTTTTATCATCAGATTTCCTGTTTTCTACTTAAACGATTACACAAGAGATCATTAATATCCCTATAATGTCAAGATGACCTTCTTATTAACCCAAGCCAAGAACATACTATTTCACAACCAGACAGGACATTAGCAAAACAACAAGTTACGTAACTGTTCTGATCTCTAACAGGTCACATAGGGAACAAATATGGCTTCAGTCTTGCTCTTTATATTCTTAGGTGTATAAGGCAAATTTCCATATAGAATAGAATAGAATAGAATAGAATAGAACAGAACCGATACTGGAATGAAAAAGAAGAGAAGAGAAGAGAAGAGAAGAGAAGAGAAGAGAAGAGAAGAG